CCATCTGCCCCAAGCACAATGGGCTCAGTACCTGACACTAGGGCTACGAGGCAAGGCCCTGGATGCGTTTGTCGAATTGCCAGAGGAGCAGGATGACAATTATGAATATTTAAAAGAAGCCATCATCCGGAAGTACCAGCTGACCCCGGAAGTGTACCGCAAGCAGTTTAGGTCCTTGCAAAAGGGACCTGGGGACTCTTGCACAGATGTGGTAAGTCGCTTATGCACCACATTCCGGCAGTGGGCCAGAGGACTGAAAGCTGACTCCTACGAGTCCCTGGAGGATCTCATGATACGAGATCAATTACTTCATCTCTGCCCTGCAGACGTCAGACAGTTTGTATTGGAGAGAGAACCCGCATCTGCCAAAGCTGCAGCAGACCTGGCCGACACCTATGTCCACACGCCGGTGTCTGATCATAGCAAGGCTCCTCCGAATGGCTGGAAAGGAGGGAAATCCCCCATAGCAACCCCTCCTATGCCGGTGAGTCAAGCTTCCTATCACTCAACACCTGCTGCAGTACTTGGGGCCAAGCCATTCCTGCCTGACAACCGCAGCTGGTATACCTGTGGGAAACCCAGACATCTCAGGACGCAGTGTCCTGAGCAGAAGAAGATGGCATCACCTGGCCAGCCGGCCAGCAACTCTTCTTCAGTGCTGTTTGTCCGCAGGAAGACTCGGGTAACCCCCGCCAACTTGCAGCCAGTCACTGTGGGCAACCGGTCTGTAACTGGTTTCCGTGACACCGGGGCAGAAGTCACCTTGATCTGACCAGAGGTGATTGAGCGAAGGAATCTCATCCCAGGAAAGTTTCTTACCCTCACTGGTGTTGGGAGAACCCGTTCACGCATACCCTGTGCTAAGGTATTCATTGATTGTGGTGCGGGAAGGGGGATGAGGGAGGTGTGGGGGTCTTGGATGAAATTCCCACACCTGTTCTGTTGGGTGCCGATTTGGGTACTCTTATTTCCTATTTTATGCCCCTGCCAAGAACACCCTGGAGGCCCCCCTGGAACTCTCTGGACATGCCGAGGTACTGTGTGCATATGTTGGGTTAATATCTGGGCAACCTTTGGATGGACAGAGGGAGGGGGCTGGGAATAGAGTGGGATTACAGGATTCTCCATCGCCTGGAGAAGGAGAGGAAATCCCCTTGCATCGGGAGGTAAGGAACTCCTGTGTCACTGATGGTACAAACGTAAATGTTGATGATGATGATAATGATGACGATACTGATAATAAAGTGCAGCGCTAAAGTAATAGAAGACTAATGAATACAGTCTTAGGTAGACAAGCTCCTTAATAGATAAAAGGAGTGCTGGTGTGACAGTTCTGTTATGAAATCCAATGCGGTATCCAGTGAAAGAATGGTAAGATTGCCTACTAACCAGAAGCGCAATCAATATGCGCATATAGGAATCCAAGACCAGCTGGAAGTCTGATGTGGGAACAGCCAGGTGGAATGTTGATGTCCTCCAGGGGGTCCCTCAATCAAATAATGGGTACTGGTCTGGTCTATCACCTCTCTCCTCTGGTACGAATGGGACGTCTAGGGTCCTGTACTGGGGTTAGATGCTCAGAGCCAAGCGACAAATGTATGGATACCCATAGTATAGTATGTTAAGTATTTATTTAGTGTTAAAACTAGAGATGAGCGAATCGAAGTAGCCGAAGTGGAATTCGAGTCGAATATCGGAAAAAATTTTCGATTTTCGAAATTTCGCGCCGAATCCGAAAAATAGCCTACTTCGGACGCGCGCGAATCGAAATTTTTCCGAAAATGGCGGCGGACATGTGCGGCGACGGAGCGGGGATGTCTGGGAAGGCGCGCAGACAAGGTGCGCGCTGACCCATAATGCATTCCTCAATGACATGTGATCGCATCAGCCAATCAGCAGCCAGCCAGCCAGCACTGTGTAATGGTCGAGCTATAAATAGCGGCCATTTTGGAATTCTTCATTTGCCTGCAGTCATTGAACAGAGGCAGACCGCTCTGTATTAGGGACAGAGTTAGGGCCACAGAAACGATACTTGGGGACAGAGAAACGTTACTTAGGGACAGAGAACCATTACTCAGGGACACAGAATTGTTAGTGAGGGCCACAGAATCGTTACTTAGGGACAAAGAAACGCTAGTTAGGGCCACAGAATTCTTACTCAGGGACAGACAGAATTGTTACTGAGTGCCAGAGAATTGTTACTTAGGGCCACAGAAACGTTATTAGGGCCACAGAATTGTTACTCAGGGACAGACAGAATTGTTACTGAGTGCCAGAGAATTGTTACTTAGGGCCACAGAAACTTTAGTTAGGGCCACAGAATTGTTACTCAGGGACAGACACAGAATTGTTACTGAGGGCCACAGAAATTGTTACTTAGGGCCACAGAAACGTTATTAGGGCCACAGAATTGTTACTCAGGGACAGACAGAATTGTTACTGAGTGCAGAGAATTGTTACAGGGCCACAGAAATTGTTAGGGCCACAGAATTGTTACTAGGGACAGACACAGAATTGTTACTGAGGGCCACAGAAACTGTTTAGGGCCACAGAAACTGTTAGTTAGGGCCACAGAATTGTTACTCAGGGACAGACACAGAATTGTTACTGAGGGCCACAGAACTGTTACTTAGGGCCACAGAAACTTTAGTTAGGGCCACAGAATTGTTACTCAGGGACAGACACAGAATTGTTACTGAGGGCCACAGAACTGTTACTTAGGGCCACAGAATTGTTACTCGCACAGACACAGAATTGTTACTCAGGGACACAGAATTTGTTACTGAGGGCCACAGAACTGTTACTTAGGGCCACAGAATTGTTACTCCACAGAATTGTTACTCGCACAGACACAGAATTGTTACACAGGGACACAGAATTGTTACTGAGGGCCACAGAACCGTTACTTAGGGCCACAGAATTGTTACTGAGGGCCACAGAATTGTTACTGAGGGCCACAGAACTGTTACTTAGGGCCACAGAATTGTTACTCGCACAGACACAGAATTGTTACTCAGGGACACAGAACTGTTACTGAGGGCCACAGAACTGTTACTTAGGGCCACAGAATTGTTACTCGCACAGACACAGAATTGTTACACAGGGACACAGAATTGTTACTGAGGGCCACAGAACCGTTACTTAGGGCCACAGAATTGTTACTGAGGGCCACAGAACTGTTACTTAGGGCCACAGAATTGTTACTAGGGCCACAGAATTGTTACTCGCACAGACACAGAATTGTTACTCAGGGCCACAGAACTGTTACTGAGGGCCACAGAACTGTTACTTAGGGCCACAGAATTGTTACTCGCACAGACACAGAATTGTTACTCAGGGACACAGAACTGTTACTGAGGGCCACAGAACCGTTACTTAGGGCCACAGAATTGTTACTCGCACAGACACAGAATTGTTACAGGGACACAGAATTGTTACTGAGGGCCACAGAAACACGTTACTTAGGGACACAGAATTGTTACTCAGGGACACAGAATGTGTACTCTGAGGGCCACAGAACTGTTACTTAGGGCCACAGAATTGTTACTCGCACAGACACAGAATTGTTACTCAGAGGACACAGAACTGTTACTTAGGGCCACAGAATTGTTACTCGCACAGACACAGAATTGTTACTTACACAGGGACACAGAATTGTTACTGAGGGCCACAGAACTGTTACTTAGGGCCACAGAATTGTTACTGAGGGCCACAGAAATTGTTACTCGCACAGACACAGAATTGTTACTCTCAGGGACACAGAACTGTTACTGAGGGCCACAGAACTGTTACTTAGGGCCACAGAATTGTTACTCGCACAGACACAGAATTGTTACTCAGGGACACAGAACTGTTACTGAGGGCCACAGAACTGTTACTTAGGGCCACAGAATTGTTACTCGCACAGACACAGAATTGTTACACAGGGACACAGAATTGTTACTGAGGGCCACAGAACCGTTACTTAGGGCCACAGAATTGTTACTCAGGGACACAGAATTGTTACACACAGAACTGTTACTTAGGGCCACAGAATTGTTACTCGCACAGACACAGAATTGTTACTCAGGGACACAGAACTGTTACTCAGGGCCACAGAACTGTTACTGAGGGCCACAGAATTGTTACTCGCACAGACACAGAATTGTTACACAGGGACACAGAATTGTTACTGAGGGCCACAGAATTGTTACTTGAGGGCGTTACTTAGGGCCACAGAATTGTTACTGAGGGCCACAGAACTGTTACTTAGGGCCACAGAATTGTTACTCAGGGACACAGAATTGTTACTGAGGGGGACACAGAATTGTTACTGAGGGCCACAGAACTGTTACTTAGGGCCACAGAATTGTTACTCGCACAGACACAGAATTGTTACTCAGGGACACAGAACTGTTACTGAGGGCCACAGAACCGTTACTTAGGGCACACAGAATTGTTACTCAGGGACACAGAATCGTTTAATTAAAGAGTATGTCAGACAACATGCAGAGGAGTGGCAGAGGAGGCAATGTTTTTTTAGGAGCGAGCAGACGTGGCAGCAGAGGAAGGGGTCGAGGCAGCACTATTCGCAGCCAGAGGCTAGTGCTCCCGGTGTCATCCAGTACAGTGAGGAAGAGCTAACAGAGGGCGGTCAGGAACGGGGGGAGACATCCGCCTCTTCAGCAGCCAGGCGAAGAAGTAGTGGCGAGGAGAGTGGCTCGGTAGCCGGTGTAGAGACAGGTCTGTCTCCTGACCCACACGCAGCCGAGGGGGCTAGTAGTAGTGAGGCGGAGACCCTAATTGATGATGATGAGGCTGATCGCACTTGGCAGCCTCGTCGTCATCAGGCTATTGCTTCCGCATCATCAGGAGAAGAGGGTGGCAGCTTGGCAGCGAGCAAAACAGTCGGTGGGTTGTCTCCATCGCCACACTCTGCCATGTGCCACTTTCAGGTCTCCTCACACACTGCTGGTGTGTTGAATTTTTTGACATAGGGTGCTGGCAGATTACGGGCCTCCCATAGCTGCTGCCAGGCCCCTAATCTGCCATGGGCCCCTATACCGCCTCCTCATGCTGCTGCCAGGTCCACAGTCTCTCATGCCATGTGCCACTTTCAGGTCTCCTCACACTGCTGGTGTGTTGAATTTTTTGACATAGGGTGCTGGCAGATTACGGGCCTCCCATAGCTGCTGCCAGGCCCCTAATCTGCCATGGGCCCCTATATACCGCCTCCTCATGCTGCTGCCAGGTCCAGAGTCTGTCATGGGTCCCTGTACGGCCTCCCATTGCTGCTGTCTCCATCGCCACACTCTGCCATGTGCCACTTTCAGGTCTCCTCACACACTGCTGGTGTGTTGAATTTTTTGACATAGGGTGCTGGCAGATTACGGGCCTCCCATAGCTGCTGCCAGGCCCCTAATCTGCCATGGGCCCCTATACCGCCTCCTCATGCTGCTGCTCCATTGCTTGCTGTTCTCAGGTTCCACAGTCTCTCATGCCATGTGCCACTTTCAGGTCTCCTCACACTGCTGGTGTGTTGAATTTTTTGACATAGGGTGCTGGCAGATTACGGGCCTCCCATAGCTGCTGCCAGGCCCCTAATCTGCCATGGGCCCCTATATACCGCCTCCTCATGCTGCTGCCAGGTCCAGAATCTCTCATGGGTCCCTGTACGGCCTCCCATTGCTGCTGTCTCCATCGCCACACTCTGCCATGTGCCACTTTCAGGTCTCCTCACACACTGCTGGTGTGTTGAATTTTTTGACATAGGGTGCTGGCAGATTACGGGCCTCCTATAGCTGCTGCCAGGCCCCTAATCTGCCATAGGCCCCTATATACCGCCTCCTCATGCTGCTGCCAGGTCCAGAGTCTCTCATGGGTCCCTGTACGGCCTCCCATTGCTGCTGTCTCCATCGCCACACTCTGCCATGGGCCACTTTCAGGTCTCCTCACACTGCTGGTGTGTAGAATTTTTTGACATAGGGTGCTGGCAGATTACGGGCCTCCTATAGCTGCTGCCAGGCCCCTAATCTGCCATGGGCCCCTATATACCGCCTCCTCATGCTGCTGCTGGCTCCTGTACGGCCTCCCATTGCTGCTGTCTCCATCGCCACACTCTGCCATGTGCCACTTTCAGGTCTCCTCACACTGCTGGTGTGTAGAATTTTTTGCCATAGGGTGCTGGCAGATTACGGGCCTCCTATAGCTGCTGCCAGGCCCCTAATCTGCCATGGGCCCCTATATACCGCCTCCTCATGCTGCTGCCAGGTCCAGAGTCTCTCATGGGTCCCTGTACGGCCTCCCATTGCTGCTGTCTCCATCGCCACACTCTGCCATGTGCCACTTTCAGGTCTCCTCACACTGCTGGTGTGTAGAATTTTTTGACATAGGGTGCTGGCAGATTACGGGCCTCCTATAGCTGCTGCCAGGCCCCTAATCTGCCATGGGCCCCTATATACCGCCTCCTCATGCTGCTGCCAGGTCCAGAGTCTCTCATGGGTCCCTGTACGGCCTCCCATTGCTGCTGTCTCCATCGCCACACTCTGCCATGTGCCACTTTCAGGTCTCCTCACACTGCTGGTGTGTTGAATTTTTTGACATAGGGTGCTGGCAGATTACGGGCCTCCTATAGCTGCTGCCAGGCCCCTAATCTGCCATGGGCCCCTATATACCGCCTCCTCATGCTGCTGCCAAGTCCAGAGTCTCTCATGGGTCCCTGTACGGCCTCCCATTGCTGCTGCCAGGAGGCAGCAGGGTCGCAGCAGTGTCAGTGGAGGCAAACGGCCACGGAGTAGAGCACCAGCTCCACTGCAGCCTACCACCACGGCCAGTAGTGGTGCCGGTGTGCACGGAGGAAGTAGCAGTCAGCCAGTGAGGAGTAGCGGAGGCAAAGTTTCCTACTCTGCGGTGTGGCAATTTTTCGTCAAGCCGCCCGAGGAAGTAAACGTAGCCGTATGTCGACTATGTGGCCAGAAAGTCAAGCGTGGCCAGGGGGCCCATGTTGGGACTACAGCGTTGCGTCAGCATATGCAGCGTCGCCATTCGGTGGCCTGGGAAAACCGTGATAAAGATACGGCGGTTCTGCCTGCCCCAGCCCAGGGTTCCATTTTGTCATAGGGTGCTGGCAGATTACAGGCCTCCCATAGGTGCCGCCAGGCCCCAAATCGGCCATGGGCCCCCGTACCGCTTGGTCACGCTGCTGCTGCTGAGCCCACAGTGTGACCTGGGTCCCTGTACGGCCTCCCATTGCTTCCACTCTGCCATGTGCCACTTTGAAATCTCCTCACACTCCTGCGGTTGTCCATTTTGTCATAGGTTGCTGGCAGATTACAGGCCTTCCATAGGTGCCACCAGGCCCCAAATCGGCCATGGGCCCCCGTACCGCCTGGTCACGCTGCTGCTGAGCCCGCAGTGTGACCTGGGTCCCTGTACCGCCTCCCATTGCTCCCACTCTGCCATGTGCCACTTTGAGGTCTCCTCACACTGCTGGTGTGTTCAATTTTTTGACATAGGGTGCTGGCAGATTACGGGCCTCCCATTGCTGCTGCCAGGCACGTAATCTGCCATGGGCCCCCGTACCGACTCCTCATGCTGTGACGTTGCAACAAGGTGGAATTCAACACTACATATGTTAGACCGCCTTTACGAACAGCGAAAGGCCATCACAGATTTCCTGATGTTAAAAGCGGATAAAGGTACTCCCTGTGTAACTTAGATGTCAGCCATTGGCAGCTCATGCGTGACACCTGCGCTTGCTCAGGCCCTTTGAGGAGGCCACGCTATTCGTGAGTCGGCAGGACTATGGGATGAACGAGGTCAAATCGGCCATGGGCCCCCGTACCGCCTGTTCACGCTGATGCTGGTCCCACAGTGTGACCTGGGTCCCTGTACCGCCTCCCATTGCTCCCACTCTGCCATGTGCCACTTTGAGGTCTCCTCACACTCCTGCGGTTTTCCATTTTGTCATAGGTTGCTGGCAGGTTACAGGCCTCCCATAGGTGCTGCCAGGCCCCAAATCTGCCATGGGCCCCCGTACCGCCTGGTCACGCTGCTGCTGGGCCCACAGTGTGACCTGGGTCCCTGTACCGCCTCCCATTGCTCCCACTCTGCCATGTGCCACTTTCAGGTCTCCTCACACTCCTGCTGGTTTCCATTTTGTCATAGGTTGCTGTATGGCCTCCCATTGCTGCTGCCTCCACCGCCACACTGTGGCTCCAAACACTGGTTTTGGCCCCGTGACTGGCCAAATGAGTGAAGTGTGCGGTGATTCTAAGATCGACGGCACTCATCTGCATGTCATACTGAGTGACAGTATTATTTCTCTTCCCCAGCAGACTCCAAGGGCATTTAAATTAAAGGTACAGTGTTCTGCACTAATATTAAGTCTCTCTGAAGCCTAGAAACACCCTTTTTTAAGTTAAATTCACAGCGAATTTATTCGACTCGAATCGAATATTGTCCACGAATTCGCCGAATCAGTTGAATCGAATTTTTCATTTCTTCGCTCATCTCTAGTTAAAACATGTGGTATACATACATAAATATATCAAGGCACAGGGTGACTGTGGGTATAGGTAGAAGCGCAGTATAAACCGCTGAATACACTGATCAATATATAAGAGAATGGGTGCCGCCGGACCGCCTTGATCCGGCGGCATGACGTCAAGGCGTGCAAAGGCTCCTCCTAGGAGCTCCCACTACAGGATTGAGGGACCCCTTGGTGTTTCATTCGTATCAGTCAAGAATCCAGAAGTCCACAGGGTCTGGGCATCACCAGTAGTCTCAGTCCCCAAACAGGATCAGATGACCAAGCTTTGTGAGGACCTTGGAAAACTGAGCTTTAGGGGCCTTGCAGTGTTCGGCCCTGTCTGGGAAGAGCAACTTGGACCCCTGTCACCAGTCAGGAACAAACTGCCCGTGCCTAGTCTGACAGTCAAAAATGTTAACTGTCAGAGGGGCATATCAGTGGTTCAGCACTGTGAACCACCAGTAGGAAGAGACCCCCAGAGGTCTGGAAATGGGGAGACTGAGGCAATTATGGCCTGGCCTACTCCCCTGGCCAAAAAGCAGGTTACATCAGTCTTGGGTACAGTTGGCTATGGTAAGACGCCTGGGTGCAACTATCATGGCTCAGCTGAACCTGTGACTGACCTAGCAGACAAGAAACTAATGGAAATGGTGTCCTTGATGCTAGCATGTAAAGAGGACTGTTCAACCTGGACGAAGGTACCTGTAGGCACACCTGGGAGGCGAGTTCCCGAATTCGCCTGTCCGGTTCCGATGTCCACAGGCGCCCCTACCAGGTCAGAGGTAGTCCTGGGCCAGAGGAATGAGACTGGAGAGAGAAATCTCATTCTCTACATCTTAAGCTACATCTTAGTATGTTAGCATATGACCCCCCCGAACAGAAGTGTTTTGTGATCAGGTGGGCCCCACGGCAGTTGCCCCGCGAGATCCGGGTAGTCACAGCAGACTGGTGCTCACCACTCACAACGCACTTTGTTTGCACAACAGTGTCGCTAGGGAGAACAGCACCCTTCTCAGAAGGAACCGGGTTCTCCAGCAGTGCAGTTGTACCAGATCACCCCAAGGTGATCGTCTGGGCCTAACGGATCTGTGTCCTGAGCAGCCAAACCAGCAGCAGGTGTCGGTCGCTTCAGGAGGAAAATTGCAGTTCCCTCCCATGCAACCACCTGAGGGGGGGAGGTGTAGCAATTGTATGTACAGATATGGACGTGGACATCCATTTTGCTCAAGATCCACCATCTTGTGTCATTCTCACTCCAAATCAGTCCCCCTCCCTTTTTGTTGAATGGCATGTGGTCTGTGTGTGTGCTGAGTTTAGTAGTGCACAGGGCACAGCTGGATACACTTCATCTTCATGGTTGTAAACCCAATTAGCTGGTTCCAGGGTGTCTGTCAGCCTCTTGCTCTAGCCAGATCGTAAAGCTATAAACTCGTCAGTCACTGAACTTCAAAAGCATTCCGAAATACCAGTAAAACATACATCCCACTTGGAACCACTTTTTCATACAATCTCATAACTCCCGGCAGGAAAAAGGAACAATAGAACAAAGCATATATTCAGATAGGTCAGTTTAATGCGAGTCATCTTATACCTTACATCCCTAGATTACGTCTAACCAAGAGCAGAAAGCGATATCTCTTTAACCGTCACAGGCAGATATGTCATATCTGGTGTCTGGACATTCAGCAGATGATTCTGCATATTATTCTACCAGTGGATAGGATGCTACATGTACCTATGGAAGCTTATTGACCATGATATAAACTGGGAGGGATTTGGGTCACAGCCTGGGTCTCCGCCTAAACCTCCTCCCCAAATGAGGCGATTGGCCCTTGGCTTCAGTAGACATCCCCTGCTGGGGGACTAGAAAATAGTCTGTCAGGCCTGGAGACGTAAGATGAAGAGATTCTCCCTTTTTAACATCAGGAACTAACTTTGGGAGAAATGGTACCCTTTTGTTCAGGACACTTGAATCTGCTTAACACCAAGGACTCTGGCAAGTATTCTACCTCTCTAAACTTTT